CCAAGTCCAGCTTGGTGAGTCAATGGGTGTTTATTGGGGTCCCTTACAGGAATGTGGGTGAGGGGTCCCTTACAGGAGCAGAAATGACTCAGACATTTCTAATCACTAATGCTGCATTACCAATGCCCACCTGCGCACAGGTGACAGCTCACAAAGCTGGGAACCTGGAGCACACTGCACAGCCTGCAGGCAGCTCAGCAGGTTGGAGAGTGTCCTTCCTGAGTGACTCGTCTACACCCCTTCCCGGCAGCTCAGCTGGTTTCTGCTATTCCTAGACAGCTGCTCTGGTCTCAGTCTTCTTTGCAGCCCAACTTCCTTGGCTGAGGGGGACTAGATGTTTGCATGCCAGCCTCTCCCATAGTTCTCAGAACTAGCCCCAGCGAACCTGGTTGTTGTGGTTTGATTGTGAGGTGTTCCCTTGTCAGGGTCCAAGGAAATGCTGAAGGAGCTGCCAGACTCAAAAAGTAAGAGCAGAGAACATTTATTAATATCCCAGCATGTGCGGGGTCGTTCACCTGTATAAGGTGGTGGTGACCCCAAGAGGAGCGTGCAGGCTCCTTTTCAGTCCAGCTAAGGGAGTTTCAGGGACAGTTAGGTCATCTCACACACGATTGGTTAAGCAAGCAGCAGTTATATTAGTATATTTTTAACTGGCTGAAGTTTAGTCTTATTTTTGGACACACTTGCACAAGCTTCGACAAGTCCAGATGTGACTCAGAAGGACCCGCAGGATTTGTCCTTGAGACACTGCAAGACTGACTTAGGCCTCTACGTTTGCTGTCTCCCTTGTCCCGGAATGTGAGGGTGTTGTGGATAGATGCCCCTTTGGAGACACTTGGTTTACCCTTCTCAGAGAACTGAAACCTAAATTCAGTTGTGAGAGTGGGAGAGTTTAACCCCTTCATTCCCCCCTTGAGCTTGGCTCCATCCCGAATCCTTGAGATGGGTCAAGGGGCTGATTTTGGGATTTTAGCATCAGCAGCTTAATGGTACTCAGACAGGAATTATCATTTAGTTAACACATCAATGACATAAGAGTAAATAGCAGAAGGGCCAAAGGCCCTGTGATGGTTGACAGAGTTCCTAGAGTTCCTATCTAGAAGGAACCTGGAAATGAGAATGGGGACCAGTTATTATTTTATCTCAGGTCCTGTTTTTATTTTTTTGAGTACAGCCAGATTATAATCCTGAATGATTTATATAGAAATAATGTTTTTTCTTAAAGCCTTATAATACCTCTTTGGTTCTATATAAAGAAGGCCAAGTGCCTTGATGAATCTACCAATTGACTATTGGAGCCTATTTTCCTGGTATGTCAATGGGCATCATAGGCAGTCATTTAGTACCCTATGTCAGGGAGTTTCCTTTTGATTTAGCATTTCAGCCTTTAAGGGAAGGGAGCAAGGGATGATGTATTCTCTTCTGTAACTATTTCCAGTTGAAACTGAGGTTTTTTGTCAGGGCCCAGGAAGGCGGAAAGGCTAGCCAAAGACTGGGCAATGGGGCATTCATCAGAAACATGTGGTTATCTGACCCAGTGTGGGGGCCCAAATTACTCAGGACCAGAGAATCTGGACTTGCTTTACCCCACAGGGCTGCAAAATGGAATGATTTGGCCAGGGGCATGGTTTCCCAGTGTTTGGAAGGGTCTACATTTGTCGATACTTTGTGCTTTGATCTTGATGGGGGAGGACTTTTGCCTCGCCCCTTGGCATTGTATAAAGAGCCTTTTGGAATAAATCTTGAGGCAACTGGGTATTGACCCAGGGAGCCTCCCAAAGATATCCTGTGTCTCTCTCTTTCTTATTGTCTCTATCTTTCTATCTACCATTTCCTCATTCCTTTCTCCTCCCTGCAAGAACCCTTTAACAGGTTGGAGCTGGACTCCAGCAGACTCCCACAGCCAAGCTCTAGAGACAGGAAGCAATCACGTTGGGTGGACTGGTCCACATCAGCTTTCAGCAAGTCCAGGGCTCACAGTCATTTGGAGCAGGTTGTAGTTATCCACTGGTGCTTGGATGTGCCTGTCAACCAAGTGGAAATCTCTTGAGACAAATATAGACTAGGGACAGAAGTTAAAATTTATGAACTTAAAGGAAAATATGTTATATTTGGAACTTTCAGGCCCATAGTCCTAGTTGGGAAGAAGAGGAATCCCAAGACCAGGAGAGAAAGATCCCATCCTCAGGAATAGACAGGCTGGGAAACTTAGGCTGTATTTATCTGGAATCCTTTTGATCTGTGAGAGGTAGATCCAAGTTTTATGTCTTCCCAGATTTTTGAAGCTTTTATGAATTTTTAGTTTACAAAAAGACATAGAAGTTTTAGATTACATTATCATTACCAATCTGTATTGAAATCCATGTTTTAGAAAAAGCAGGTAACAGGTGTCTGTAAATCGGCAGAAATAGACTTACACCTTTGAGTCCTAGCAAAGCTATAGATTTGGGTTAAAAATCTTCTGTCCAGACAGCCAGATATAGATTGGACAGAGATGTCTTTGGCCTGATGAGAAACATCTTTAAGTCTATATTTAGAAGACAACCAAAAGAAATTTAAAATCTTGAGCTTGTGACTAAAACAGTTAGTCATTGCTCTACCAGCTTATCAGAACTCGATTAATGTTAAACTCTGAACTTTTGAAATCCTAGTATAACAATACCATAGAAGGGGAAAGAAATCTAAAACATTTTCCTATACCTTAAGCCATCTTTTTGTACCCTCACAAATCGCATCCATATTCCTCAAAACATCTTCTCAGACCCTCATAACCCAAGCCTTTATGTCCTCAGACCCTAAAACTTGCATTGACACACCTTAAGTCTTTTATTTATGTCTTTGTGACTTGCATTTATATCTTAAATAATTTTCTGAGACCCTCCGAATTTATTTAAGCTTTTACGTCTTCAGACCTTTATATATTTCAGGTGCTTAGAATTTATATAGACTTTCAAATCCTTAGACCTTTATATCTTAAAACACTCTTAGACCCTCAAAACTTGAGAATGTTTTCTTAAACCTTTAAAACTTGCATAGATTTTAATATCCTAGAAAATTTTTTCATCTAATCATTTATCAGAGATATAAGTAGTTATTATTGAGAACAGTCATTGCAAAGTATGTTCCTTTAGTGGAAAGTTATATTTGAAACCTGTTTATTTTTTTCTTTATAGGAAACCTAGCAGCTTAAGAAAAAGCAAGGCTTGATGTTTACATATAAAATGTGCTAACAAGCTGGCTATATCCTTATAGAAGAATCTGGTTGCCTGTTGCTGTTAAGCTGACAAAGTTATAGTTAGCCTGGCCATCAATACCATCAGAGATCTGAGAAGGATAAATTATTACATGAAACAATAAATGGCCTATGTATCAGTTAAAATGACAGAGACTATTCCATCACCTAGACAGCCATCCCAGGCTGCTGTAGTCTCCATAACCTTGGAGCAAAGGTACCAGGACAGCATCAGTCTTTGGCTGCCAGGTCCATAAAGGTGAGAGTTTTCCCTGTGGAGGAGGAACATGGGGAAGACCAACCTTATTTTGTTTAGGCAAAGTGGGCCAATCAATTCTCCAGTATCCTTTTTGTCCACAGTCTGGGCTGGGCCCTGGCGATAGGTGTTGCACTGGGGCATGTTGCCCAGTGGTCAGTGTTACCAACAGTCCAGGTGGAGTCATCATGGTGTTCCATATCTTCTTTGGAGACCTCGGGGTTATTGCTGGGTGTCTCTGTCTGTCATATTAAGCTTTTTTTTAATCAAATAATTTAAATGTCATATTCATCAGCTCTTTGACAGGTTTGAGGACCATTATCTATTAAATATATCTGAGCCAAACAAACTTAGGCTTAATCTTGAAGATATATTTATTTAAGTTTGGTAACAACTAGGCCATCACATTACCTTGTAGATACATTAGTTAAGTCCTGCTCTTGTTATTATAACTTATGACTGAGATTTTGATTCTGCCATTTACAGAATTCATTAAGTTGATGGCAACCATTTTTTTTAAATATTAAATACAAAGTTAGAGTCATATTTTTCTGAAATGGCTTCTTTAGAGTTTTTTTTTTTTGTAGTCCAGAGTTTTGTATTGGTTTTGTTTTTATTCTATAAGCATTTCCCCCTATCCATAGATATATGCATTTCCTTAGACATTATAGGAACAGTTAGATTGTAGTTTTCATTTATAGGCCATAGATATGATCTTGACAACTTTTAAGAAACAGGTTTGAACTATTTTATGAACTCTGAATAGCTAGGAGCTTTAGTCTTGTCATTTCATATAAGGCCAATCATATAGAACCCTGTAACATGGAGGGCTGTAATATGACGACTAATTATTCACCTGTGTTTATAATTATACATTATATTTTTAAATAAGTCTGACATGAGACCTCAGTCCTCCTTCCTCCTTTAAAGAGCATGACCCCATTTCTAACATAAACATTTTGCAGTGAAGAATCACCGGGTTTTTTAAATGAAGAAAACCAACCAGAATTAATATGGTCAAATTTCCAACCATTTTACAGTTTCTTTCTAAAGTCAGTATTTGCAGGTATAAGAAACCAAAGCAAATACAGATCACACCCCTTCTGGCCTTCTATGACTTTCTAAATAACCTCAGGTCAGGCCTTTCCTATCTCCATTCCTCTAGTTCAGCCAGACATTTTTCTTTAAACAAACTCCTCTTTTCCTTTTCTTTACTGTACTATTTCAGTCTCCTGATTTTTTTCTTGCTTTCCAGATAACATGAAAACTTTCACCAAAGTCCTTCTTGTGACTTCTTTCAGTAGTCTAGCATATTGTACAGGTATAACACCTTAAACAAGAGTAGAAATACATACATACATACATATATATATATAAACAAAAACCCTTAAATTTGTATTAATATAAATATATTAATATACAATGTAATATATAATAATATACAATCAATTAATATAAATGTATTAATATAAGAATTCATACCAATGTGAAATATTTGAGACTAGTATATTTTTTCTTACCATGATCAATAATAAAAATTTGTAACCAACCCTCCTAGATGATGACAAATATTTATAACCCATCGAATCTGAATGACCAAAAACCATCTATCTTATCTTTATCAATTTTGAAGGAAAGCATATTCACTCCCCATCGAAACAAAAGTATAATTTTTCCTGAACATAATATATTTTTGAATTTTAGTCTGAAGCCAAGGCATCCTAAAGTATATAGGCTGGTTTAATTCGGATTTTAGGCAGTGTCAGGACAGGAAGGGATTAAGGTGGTAAGGTAGCAGTGACACGAACCTTGGTGGAGGGAGGTGTAATACAGTGTAGTAACATTGCATTGTAAATTGTATTCAGTCTTCAACAGGGAAGAACTTGGCTTAGGAAGGGAGCAGGGTGGCAGCTGCAGTGCAGTGCAGGCAGCTGGTGGACACAGAGTGCCTGGCAGTCAGCGTTCCTGCACAAGATCATTAGCTTTCCAATCAATTAACCCGACTCCCCGCTTGGCATTTGAAGTCCCTGAAATGTGACCAAACTAGGTCCAGAGGGGTGGGACTCACTGACTGTCCCATAATAATATATTTTAAGAACACAAAAGAGGACGAACAGAATATAAACATATACACACACCACAGGGCTCACCTGGGATGGGACATTCAGAGCAGGGATTGGCCAGGCTTACTGACCCACGCCATAGATGGAGATACAGGCTGGGATGGTTCTCAATGGTTTCCAAGCATCTCAAAAGCAACATGTCTGCACTGTTCACAGTCAACTCACCACTGCTCTCCAAATGCATATCCCTCTGGTTCCATTCTGGAAAATACCTCCAGCCATCCCTCATTTGGGTGAAATTGTTGATTCTACCTCAGACTTCCTAGGTTACCCTCTTCTCTCTATCCTCACTCTCCCCAACTGTGCCCAACACCCAGAACAGTGCCTGGAATATAGGTGTCTGGTGGGATGGTTGGCTACTTCTAGCTTGCAGCTGCCTGTGGACGCAGTCCCTGAGACCCACCCTTTACTGAGTAGCTGGAGTAACAGGAACATCTTAGCCCTGTCTGAGCCTGTGGGGCCCTGTCAAACTCAGAGATGGCATTCATGCTCTCCTGGCTAGCAAAAACTCGAATAGCCCACCCACTACCCCTCTCTCCACACACTGCTATATATAAATGTTCTAGCCATATCATAGATCTTGTAGGCAGCCAACTTTGCCAGGCTGATGGATGATTCACACTTTGGTTTGGCACATGCCTATGGTCGCCAACCCCTATCCCATCTGCTCAGCGAGTGATTCACACTTTGAAGGCATGTTCAAAAGTTATCCTGGCCATGAGGCTCAGCTGAACTTGTGTATCTGCTATAGCACTTAAGTTCTGAACTTATTTATGGATGTGTCTGTTCAATAAATGGATAAGACTGTCCTCGGGCCCCAGGACCTTTTTTACTCATCTCTGGAGTGCCCAACACAGACCTGGGGTACAGAAGCAGAAATGAAGGATATCTCACTGTTGTCTAAGGCTGGATGTGTCTAGGTCCTGTTCATGCACCATTCTCCTGACTGCACACATATCTTGTCCAAATGGGAAGCACGGTGCCAGGCATTTACTGACTGGCCCTAACACAAACTCAGTTCAAAAGGTGGTCATTTACCCTCGATCCCAATCTGGGGAGCTGACTGGACACTCCCGGGGACTGCCCCATGTGTTGTAGCTGAGGCTGCTCACTGTGGTGACACTCAGCTGGGACTCACACATTTTATTCTTGATTGATCATCATTCAGCTGTCCTGATTGCCTTTATTATAAAGTGCCCATCCCTTGCCTCCCTCCAGCCCCTCCCATGTTCCCCCAAGTTGATAGCCTTTTTATTATTACACACACACACACACACACACACACACACACACACATGTATGTATGTATGTATGTATGTATGTATGTATATACAACCTACCGAGTCTGTTTTTGTTGTGTGTATATGGTTTCAAGCCTGACCACTCTGCATTGGACAACTGAGAGACCAGCCTGTCTCCATTTTGATTCTCTAGTTTGGTTAAGTTCCTGTCTACTGTAAAGCTTGAGTTTTTGTTCATCAGAGCTGGGCTGCACCCCACCCCATAACCATAGAATGTTCTGTAACAAATGTTCTAGGAAGATCCCCTTAACTGCTCGCTTTAATCTTGACTGCCTGGTCTTGCTTTTGTAACCATGCTTGCTCCCACCCTATGGTTTTGCCCTATAAGGAGCCTGAGAAATTGGCTCAGAGCTGATCTCTTGAACTCTGCCTTAGGAAGAGTCGGCCACCAGCCAGATCTTACCCACACAAATATAGCTTGCTTTAATTTGGCCATAATTTGCGTCAGTGTCTTTCTCCTCAAGTCTTTGGGATTAGCCAATAAGGGAACTCATGCCTGGGAGAGGCTGAGTCTCCTTCCCCCACCAGTTGCTAGTTGCCTGTGTAGGGGTGGGACCCCTAGAAAAGTCCCTCCTTCCATGTTAACATATCCACTGATACCGCCATGCTTCTGGGCTCTGGTCTTCTTTATGAAGCCGTTTCTATGAGAGACTTTTCCACAGCAGGCTTCTTGGGATTCTGGCTCTTGCAATTTCCATCTCTTCCTCCATGATGTGCTCCGAGTGATGTAGATGTACACATTGGGGCTGGGCTTGAGGAGCCTTTGAGGCCTGCATTGTGTCCAGTTGTGGTTTTCTATGAAGGTCTCCATAGGCTGTGAGGAGAGGCTTCTCTGGTGAGGGCTGGTAGCTTCACGTACCTGTGTATGAGGATAAGATTTAGAGTGTAATAAGGAATGGTGTTGGCCCAGCAAAGCATGGTGTTGGACTTTCTCGGTAGCACATTCCAAGAAGATGCATCCTGCTGCACAGGAACTTCTCAGGCCTTTACCTATGTCATACATACCATTGTCCAGTTGATCAGAGAAAGTCACTTGGTCACAAGGGGGTGTATGTATGCTTTATGTGGGGCTGTCAAAGAACCTGTCCACCGGAGTCATGCTTCCTTCTTCAGAACTGATCCTGAATACATCTGAGCATCCTTCCCTCCTACCAGGTCAAGGACATAATGGTCTACAAGTCTGAAGTGGGCTCTGACCCCGCTCTGGTTCAGACCTGGTCTCATTCACAAAGGATGGGTCTGAAGGTGGCGGCAATAGCCTTGACTTCTTGGCTGGATTTGTCTCTTTTCCTTTGGAGGCCAGGTATGGTGATATTTTATTTGTACTGAAATGTAATTTTATTTGTATGTTAATAAATAAAGTTGCCTGGGGGTCAGAGGTAATAGCAAGCCATAGCAGAAGCTGGGTGGTGGTGGCATACACCTTTAATCCAGATCACATGGCAGACAGATCTCTGTGTGTTCAAGGATACAGCCAGCATGGAGATACACGCCTTTAATCTCAATACCAACCATAGAAGACCTGGAGGTCTGTATAGACAGACAGTGACGAGGAGGTCATGTGGTTGGGTTTACAACCAATGAGAAGGCAGAACAGAAAGTCAATAAAAAGACAGACACACAGGAAGTAGGTCTCTTGCTGAGGGGAAGGACAGCAGCAGCATTGAAGGGTAAGAAAGGGATTTTAGCTCTTAGCTATTGCTCTGACCTCTTGCGCTCTCAACTCTGCATTTGGCTCTGTGTTTCTATTTTAATAAGACAGTTACATCTACAGCCAGGGCTTTGGTAACAGCCTCCTTCTGTGGGATATCCATCATCACAGACAACAGAAGTGACATAACTGTTTCCTCCTGAGAAAGAGGGCATCGGAGACTCACTCAAGCCACTCATTGGACGAAATGACTTCAAGTTTCCTCCATGCCTCCTTCTCCTCCTCTTCTTCCTCCTTCCCAATGTGCTGAGGATGGAATCCAGGACTCCATGCATGCTAGCACCGAGCCGAGCCTGCGCCCTCTTGGCCTCTTCTCCTGTTTGCAGACAGATGTAGCATGTTACAAGGCCATCTACCTCATGTGCCTACTCTGCACCAGGCATGCACCAGTGCCTTCATCTCCCCTCACTCTAGGTGTGGGGGTGCTGCTTAGTCCCTGAGTCCCACACTACAGTCCTGTATGACTTATACCTGGACCTAGCTTGCACAGGCTCTGTGTCCAGTGCTCTGCCCCGGGTGGGTGGGTAGAGGGGAGCCACCCTGTGACTCACTTCTCTTTTCTTCCCACCAAACAATCACGCTGAACCTAAGGCATTCATGTTGAAATGAAGCCTAAGTTAGCCTGTGACCTTGTATGACAACTACGTCAAGAGCCCCCATCCTGGATGAACAACGTGAGTGAGAAGTAGACTTGTGTAATGTAGCTGAGGTGTGGGGATGTTTGTTACTGTAGTACAGCACAGCAGTCCTGACTACATTCAAGCTCAGCAGAAGAGACCACAGGACTGCTGACAGTCAGCCTTTCTGGGAAATGGAAAACTGCTCTTTAGACTATTTTCAAATCTAGATCTACTGGCGGCCAATGGGGGTCTTGGATAATGGTTGTGGTTGGTTTGGAAAAACAAAGGGACCAGGTGTCCAAAATCTGAAAGAAATCCTCTTTTTCAATTCACTCCCTCTGGCTGCAAGGGAGATTTCTTCTCAGCCTGGGCTACTTGGGGCCACTTGGGGTTTTCTTTTTTAACCTGCTTTCTAATGTCAGGCTAACACTGAGCATGCAATGGTATGGGTTCCTCCCCCGCCCCCGAAGCACAGCTCCACAACGTGTTCAGCATCCCTTGCCTCCGTGCCTGGGTAAGGCATCTCTCTAGAGTACCTACAGATGATCGCTCCCTAAAACATTTTCAAACTTTGGAAGTTCTCCAAAAGAAGAACCACTTGTTAGGAGAGTGCTCTGGCTTCCGATTTCCCTTGACCTTTTCAGAGAAGTGATGTGAGATCTGGTGTTTTTTGTCTGCTTTCCCATAGTGTGGAGACAGAAGATCCTTGGGGCTTGCTAGCCAGCCAGCTTAGGCTAATTAGTGAGTCCCGGGTCCCAGTGAGAGATCTTGCCTCAAAAACCAGGGTGGATAGCTGAAGAGTGACACCTGAGTTTAACTTTTGGCCTCCACATGAGTGCGGATATGCACACATATGTACCTGCACACACATGTGCACCAATATACATGAACATATTCATCTCCCCTATTCGTAAAGAAGTCCACTTCATACTGATTAAGGGAACAAGCCATTAAGAGGTCAATACAATTTAAAACATACATATGCAGACCCTGGGAGCACACAGACACTTCTCCCAACACAATAATAGTGGGTGAATTTAATACTCACTCACCCCAATAGACAAATCATCTCAAACAAACAAAGAAAAATATTTGTAGAAAAATAAAAGACTCACTCTCCTGAAGTCAATGATGGTCTGTAGCCTCAAAAAAAAAAAAATGGGATGAGCCAAAAAGAACCCCTTCATCTCTCCCTAACTTGTTCTGTCGGGTCCTTTGTAGTCAGAATGAGAAAAGTAACCAATGCACACATATTCCACTAAGTTGTAAATCTAAAAGAAAAGGATGGATTTCTAGATATGACTTACCAAAGTTAAGCCAAAACAAACAATTTCAACAGATCTATAATGGGCAATAAGATTGAAGCAGTATTAAAAAACCCTCCTGACTAAAAGAATTTCAGGTCCTAAGGGATTTCCTGCCAAATTCTACCCAAACTTGAAAGAACTTCCACCAATACTTCTTAAATTATTCCTCAAAGTAGAAAAATGAATAAATGCTTTCAAACTCTTACAGTAAGACCAATATTACTCTGATACCAAAATTAGACAAAAACACATAAAAAGAAAATGATAGGCCAATCTTTCTGATGAATACAGATACAAAAATTCTCAATGAAGTACTACAAACTTAATCCAAGAACATATAAAAAAAAAAGGTCTCTATTCACTGTGCTCTAATTGGCTTCATTCCAGAGAATCTGGGTACAGTTTAACATACACAAATCAGTAAACAGATTCAAGGACAAAAATCATGTGATTCTCTCAATAAATGCAGAAAAGGCCACAGACAAAAATCTAAGATTCATCATGGTAAAAGCCCAAAGACTTTGGGAACAAAAGGAGCACATCTCAACATAATGGATGCTATATATAACAAATCACGAGGCAATATCATACTAGACAGAGAAAACATGATAAATGGACCACGGCGGTGTGTGTGTATAATGCCAGCGCTCAGGAAGGGAGGCAGACTGGATCAGGAGTTTGAGGCCCGCCTGAGACACAGGAGAACCTGTCCAAAACAATGACAACAACATATCCCAAGCAGGTTGCTCCTCGGTTACTGTGAACTGTACTAAATAAACCTGTTTGTTTTTAATGGAAGAGATGGTTAAGTCATGAGCTGATTGAGAATGGTGTTAGAAAAATCCATGTTTGGGGGTGACAGATGAAGGACTCTAAGTTTAGGGGTGGCCAGAGAAAAGGAGATACCACCAGTAAGTAGCTAGTGGAGTGGCCAGCATGAAGGGGAGAGATTCCTTGATTGGGGGATTGCATAAAGACAGGCTGGGCTGGGTGAAGAGGGAAAGTTGTGAACAGGAGAGGGCTGGAGAAGCCTAGGTTCGGGCAGGCAGGAGAAGGAGCGCAAGAAAGAAGGGAAGCGGGTAGAAATGAATTGATGTGTCAGAACAGCTCCGCGGCAGGTAGACCTTGAGCTGAGATGGGTGGGCAGGTGTTGGGATGGAGCGGGCCGGGTGGGGCAAACAAAGTCCGCAGAAATTGGAAGCCCACCCCCATCCTGGGCAGAAACGGGATAGAAGGGCTGATGAGGATCTGGCCACCAAGCAGGGCACGGGAGCTGTAGTGAGGAAGGAGACTGGGCCGAGATCCAGCCGCCCGATCCACCTGAGATGTCGGGCTGGGGCAGGGGCCTTCGAGGCTGGGGTTCGTATTGTGGGAGGGAACTGTACGGAGAACCGGTTGTGAGGAGACTGGACAGAGGCCTGAGGAGTCAGCAAAGGGCTGTGAAGGGACTCTGTGAGCTCCTCGCCCACCTCCTGAGCCCTGGGGTCAGGTGGCAACGGAGACTGTTGAAGCTGCGTGCACAGCCATCGTGGAGGACCTGCTCTGCCCTGCGACAGGCAGCAGATGGTCCCGCAGTCAGGGTTCACCCATCGCTTCCGACATCCCACGGTGTGACCACGTCTTTTGTCCTTCTTTCTCTTTAGCCAGTTGGTTTGGATGCTCCGCCTCCCTTGACTCACTTGGAGCTGTAGTGGTCTGGCCAGGCTTTCCCACCCCACCCGAAGAAGTTGGTTGGAGCAAATTGGTTGCAGCTACGGAAATGTCAAAAATGCTCCTGGTTGTGGCCTCTTGGTCTAATCCGAGCGCCGCAACGGCCAGACTTCCGCCAGGGTCTGAGGCACAGGGGACCCTCGGTGCCAGGGACCCCTCAGCAACCCAGCGCTTGTTCTGCGCAGTCACTGCTAGGTGACTAGATAGCAACTCTTTGGGTTTCCAATCCTAGGCTTGGCCCTCAGCTCCTGCCTCCCCAAACCGTATCTCCCTGGGTTTTCTCGGTTGGTCCTGGCCCGATGCTGTTCCCCCTTGCACCCCGCCCCCCAACACAATTCCCCTTCTCTACCCTTGGGATGTAATGATATGAAAGTTTAGTGAGTAGTGGTGTGTTGCTCTATCAGAAATGTGAGAAAGGACTCCAAAGGGGCTGGAGATGTCTGTGTTGGGTGAGTTGCTTGAAGGCAGAAAGACCAAGAGTTCAAAGTCATCCTTGTCTATAGGTCGAATTCAAGGCCAGCCCCATATAATGAGACCCTACCTTTAAAACACCAGAGGCTGGAAAGTTCAGGGGTTAAGAGCATTTACTGCTTTACAGAGGACTCAGGTTAAGTTACTAGCACCTACATGGTGACTCACAATCATTGGTGACTCCAGTTCCAGAGGAAGCGACTCCCTCTTCTGACCCTGGCAGGCACCAGGCCTGAACATTGTGCACATACATATATACACGCAGGCAAACATCCATACACATAAAACTTAAATAAATAAATCTTCTAAAAAACAACAAAAGGCTTTGTTGTTTATATACTTTCTGCCTCTCCCTCCTCCCCACCCCCACCCCGAGGATATCCTTATGTCCTACAGATTGGCTTTAAACTGTATTCCTCCTGCCTACCCTCCAGAGTGCTTGGGATCAAGGAGGGTGCCACCACATCCAGCTAATTCCTGCCTACTTAATGTTTACTTTCCCATCTCTGTCTCTACCTAGCTTTGCTTCTGGGAGCTGCAAACTCTGGAATTGGGAATCAGAAGATTTAATTTAAAATTTGTGTGTGTGTGTGTGTGTGTGTGTGTGTGTGTGTGTGTGTGTGTGCGTGTGTATGTGTGTGTGTGCGTGCGTGTGCTGGGTTACAGGAGCCAGAGCCTTTCACATGCTTGGCCCCATGATCCAGGCCGAATTGGAGGCACGTCGTGGCTCACCTCTGCAATGTGGGGCTGGATGTGGGCGATTTGGGGCGAAAAGAAAAGGAGTCCCACAGCCTGAGACTGAGCCCCCGCCCCGACCCATGCAGCAATACCCACCCTTACGGCTTGACCGGCTTGACCCGGGAGACCAAGTCACACACTGGTGACTCCAATCCTCCAGCTCAGCTGGTTTTCCACGACAAGCTCCTCCCAGCTTCAAGACCCGCCTGTTCTAAGTCATGCCCCTCCCCCAGGTTGGAGTCCCAGGACCCAGGAGCCTGTCCCTTCTCTTTCCAGCTCCTGGCTCTGGTACTTAGGAACTATGTGCCCGGCCCTGGTACCTATGTCTAGCTGGTATGTTCCGCACCTGGGCATGCTAACTGTGGTCCTGGATGATGCTCAGCCCCTGCATCAAAGCATGGCACGTGAGTAGCATCTCCGCAGAATCCTCTAACAATGTTTTCTGGTCCTGGCCAACAGCTTTGAGAAGA